GCACATGTTTTCAGCCATACTTGTTAGCAGTCATTAACAAAAAAAGAGGGTAACGTCGCAAGGACGATGGGTTGTAGTCGACGGACTGTTTATGATTTACAGACGTGTCTACAGCAAACGGGTACCACCGCTGATCGCCTCTGCCAGGTCGACCACGTGTGACGTCACATGCAGAGGATCGTCAGATTGTCTTGCGTCACCTCCGTAACCGATTTTTGACGGCTACATCAACCAGAAATGAACTGTTTAGGGGTAGACTGAGTGCGCAAACTGTTCGAAACCGTCTGAGAACTGCTCACCTTCAAGCACGACGGCCATACTGCGGGCCGATTCTGAATCAATTACACAGACGTCAACGTCAATTGTTGGCACAGCGACACTTACGATGGACTCAGAGGAATTGGAATCAAGTCGTCTTCAGTGATGAATTCCGATTTAATCTTCGATTTGCTGATGGTAGGGCGATGGTGTGGAGGCGCCGTCATGAACGTTACGCCCAGTGTTGTGAACAGGTAGTTGACAGATTTCGAGGCGGAAGTGGCATGGTGTGGGGTGCTTTATGTGGCAATGCACGTTCCAGGCTTCTTGTCATCCGTGGCAACCTCAACGCTGCTGCTTACCGCGACCAGGTACTGGCACCAGAACTTCTGCCTTTTATGGCAGCATATGGACCCGGTTTGATCTTCCAACACGGCAATGCCAGACCCCACACAGCAATTTTGACAAGGAATTTCCTTCAGAATGCGGGAGTCAACGTCATGGACTGGCCGTCAAGGTCACCCGACCTCAATCCCATCGAACACGTCTGGGGTGCTCGTGGCAGAAGTCTGCGCACGCTCCAGAACCAACCACAGAATGTGCAAGATCTTGGCACCATTTTGCAGCAACAATGGCGTCGTCTTCCCAATCATGTGTTCACAAGCATCACAAGGTCCATGCGGAGGCGTTGTGTGGCAGTTGTCGACGCACATGATGGCAATACACGCTACTGAACTTGTGTGCCATCAGGATCTCGTGCTTGGGACTTATGATTTAAACTGTTGATGTTATTACCGAATACCGTAGGTGCTTGGAACAAATTATGGTTACCACAGTTTATTAAAATCCTTCTTTGGACATTAATGATTAAAAAATACCTTCTCTGATACATTTGTCCGTTGTATATCATATATGGGATTACTTTTAAAAATGTGAAGTTTTTAATTTGACTCAGTATATATACTGAACAGCAAAAGAAACGTCACAATGGATAGATATATGAGAAACCTTATTTGTCCAAACACTCTAAATATAATGTAGACATATTAAAAAGATTAAACTTAGCAAAACTGATCATCAAGGTTGAAATTAAAGTGTCAAATGTTCTAAAAGTGAAACACACCACTAGCTTCTGAGAAAATGGCATCACAAGTCAGTATCTCGTGTGTCCGCCATGTGCATTGATGACTGCCGTGCAACGTCGATACATGGAATGGATGAGGCGGTTGATGAAGGCTATTGACACTTGAGCCCACACTCTGATGGACGCCTGACGCAGTTCAGCTGCCGTCTTTGAATCTCGTCCCACAGGGGATCAATGGGATTAAAGTTGGGAGTGAGGGCAGGCCGCTGCATGGTTCTGATGCCATTCTCTTGTTGCTCTCGCAGAGAGGTCACGGGCGTTATCATGCTGAAACTCGTTGTTGCGGCGACGTGCCAAATGAGGTATGGCTTGTGGTCTCAAGACTTGATCAATGTACCGAGCAGCTGACACCATTGCCTCTCCCTGGACCGATGTTCTGGGAGACCACAGGGCCGACCCTCTGTGCAATTCCACCCCACACCATGATGCTCGGACCAACCCACGAGTCTGAGAGAGTAACGGCTCTCGTCTGAGAAGAGGACTCTTCTCCACTGCTGATGGCGCCAATGCTGGTGCTATGTTACCCACTGAAGACGGTCCCGGCGATGACGTGGTGTCATAATGGGTCCTCGGTGTGGCCTGTGACAGTTGAGGTGTCTGCTCGTCAATCGTCGATGCACGGTGTCCGAACTAATGTGTCGCAGGTGTGTCCTCATGGTCTGTCGTGCAGTAACAAAGCGATCTTGAAGATTCTGTCCCACAATCTGACGATCCTGACGTCGGGTGTTGACCCTTGGTCTTCCAGTACGTAGTCGGTCATCTGTTGTGTTGACGGTCTGGTACCGTTGCTGGAGCCTGTATATGGTCCTGACGTGGATTTGAAATGCATTGCTACTTGCCGGGCGGTTTGTCCAGCTTGCAATCGTCCAACGGCTTGGTGTCGCTGATTTCTTGTCAATCTTGGCATGTGGTAGCAATTCCATAACGAATGAATGTTTTCCGATCTGGGTGGATTTTTTTAGGGCAAGAAATGGGGGCATTTCAATTTACACGGAACTCACGTGCATCGGGTTACCATGGCGGTTGCCGTGATGCGTTTGGGCGATCGGTTTTGTTGTCATCTGCTTTGTTTTTTTATCATCAACTTTCATTTTTCCAGACAAGGTAATGTTAAATTTTAGAAAAAATACCCAGATATTCAAATGACAACTTTTCATGCAATGTTGCTTGGGGTGACGTTTCTTTTGCGGTTCAGTTTATTATTTTTTATACGAATCTATCCGAGTTCTCAATCATGAAATAACGAACTATGTAAACAACACGACTACTATATGTACCTTCAGTCTTTGAACCTATGGGACGTATGACTGTTTGCCCGCGAACTTTGTTTTATTTTTCTTCCTTTTTTTAATAGAAGAATATTAATATTGTGAATGGTACCTATAATAACTAATATAACATTTAAAGGCATTAGGATCTGCTAATATATACGGTCACAACACAGACAGAACAGTATTCAATGACAATCTATTTGCTAATATAGACGATTTTGAGAGAAACAGTTGTAAAGTGTGGAGACTGGAATCTTGTTTTTGTTTGTTTGTTTATTTGTTGTTTAACGCCCCATTCAGCAGTATCCCAGCTACATGACGGCGGTCTGTAAGTAATCGAGTCTGGACCAGACAATCCAGTGAATCTTGTCCTAGATCCGGCTATAAAAAAAACCATTCATGTACATATAGTAACAACTGACACTTGGTTGTGTAATGAAAAGAGAATTTAGAAATGTATTGACAATTTGGAACAAAACGAAACATAAAAAGAATTTACGCGGTGAGAAAAACAGCCCAGATTTGATATATTTTAACTTCTTGATATATATTTAACTGAACATTAGAGAGCACAATACTTCCAGAATAATAATTATTCAGCCCTGAAACGGACATTGTCGAATACTCCTACGAAACAGGTAAGTGATGTTGGAAGTTTAATTCGTCATTATTGCATAATGAACACTTCTTTCCACTTTCTAAATAAAAGATACATTTTGGAAAAGATAAAAAAAAATTCAACAAAGGTTCATTACTGTCGAATTATTAAAGCCAATTATAAAATACAAAGAAGACGAAATCCAAGGAATCTAAAAAGAAATAGAATCAAATTGATTTCAAACTGATTTCAATAAGTTAAAAGATAGTTTACAAACACTGCTCGAAGCGAGGAGTGAAACACACGAGTGTGCTGTAAAACTAAAAAACATCTCTACATAGCGGAGAGTGTAACACACGAGTGTGCTGTGAAACCAACAAACACCTCTACATAGCGAGGAGTGAAACACATGAGTGTGCTATGCAACTAACAAACACTTCTACACACCAAGGGGTGAAACATACGAGTCTGCTGTGAAAATATGAAACACCTCTACATAGGGAGAGATAAAACACACGAGTGGCTGTGAGACTAACAAACACCTCTACATAGCGAAAGATAAAACACACGAGTGTGCTGTGAAACCAACAAACACCTCTACATAGCGAGGAGTGAAACACATGAGTGTGCTATGCAACTAACAAACACTTCTACACACCAAGGGGTGAAACATACGAGTGTGCTGTGAAATTAACAAACACCTCTACACACCAAGGGGTGAGACACACGAGTGTGCTGTGAAACCAACAAACACCTCGACATAGCGAAGGATAAAAGACACAAGTGTGCTGTGAAACCAACAAATACCTCTACATAGCGAGGGATAAAATTCACGAGAGTGCTGTGAGACTAACAAACACCTCGACAGAGCGAAGGATAAAACACACGAGTGTGCTGTGAAACCAACAAACACCTCTACATAGCGAGGAGTGAAACACATGAGTGTGCTATGCAACTAACAAACACTTCTACACACCAAGGGGTGAAACATACGAGTCTGCTGTGAAAATATGAAACACCTCTACATCAGGAGGGATAAAACACAGGAGTGGCTGTGAGACTAACAAACACCTCTACATAGCGAAAGATAAAACACACGAGTGTGCTGTGAAACCAACAAACACCTCTACACACCAAGGGGTGAGACACACGAGTGTGCTGTGAAACCAACAAACACCTCTACACACCAAGGGGTGAGACACACGAGTGTGCTGTGAAACCAACAAACACCTCGACATAGCGAGGGATAAAATTCACGAGAGTGCTGTGAGACTAACAAACATCTCTACACATCGAGAAGTGAAACACACGAGTGTCCTGTGAAATTTACAAACATCTCTACATAGCGAGGGGTGAAACATACGAGTGTGCTGTGAAACCAACAGACACCTCTACATAGCAAGGAGTGAAACACACGAGTGTGCTGTGAGGCTAACAAACACCTATACACATCAAGGGGTGAAACACTCGAGCGTGCTTCGAAACTCACAAACATCTCTACATATCGAGAAGTGAAACACACGAGTGTTCTGTGAACATAAGAAATACGTCTACACGGCGAGGGGTGAAACACACGAGTGTGCAATGAAATTAACAGATTTGCGTTTGAATTGTGTGGCTTGTCACATACGGCCGTGACAAGAATTCGGCATTGCAAGAAAATTCTAGTTTTAGCTAGTTGATATGGTCAGTGTACGTGCCTGATCAACGGAATATTGGCTATAAACTTAAACGCTTTGGGTATATTGCCCTTTTGGATGGTATTTGCGAAGTGGCCATTTCAAATTGTTATCAGCGTGAATTCACACGATGCCCCTCGGTGATGATGGCAACTACAAACATGAGAACTGCGGCATCAGCCATGTTGGTGTTGACGGCGGCGTGTGTCACTGCATAAACCTAGAAGATGAAAGCGTCCCTCAATGCAACAATGAAAATGGCAACGGCATTTGTCACGACAACAGCACTGAGGAGGATTGTCCCAACAGCACGACTGAGAAATCAACTAGGAAACTAAGCACAAGATACTGGCAAATTGGATCCGTCTTCAGTTGTTTTATAGCCAATTTATTTGTTGGTGGCCTTCCAAACTCGTACGGTGTAATGTACACATACATGAAGGAACCTCTGGGTACCACGGAATGGGAACTGTCTTTGATAGGATCTCTCATGGGTGGATTCATTGGGTTTGCCTGTACGAAAATATACATATGTTGTTGAATCATATGTTTTGTTTATGTCAAACGTTTCGGGGAGACTGGAGTTTACATTTAAATTTTACACACATATATCAGTCCTCTGGATAATGCGTACCATTCATACAAATGATCGTCTTTTGTTCCAGGTATTCTTGGAACGGTATGTGTTGATTGTCTCGGGAGTCGGTTCACCACTTTATTTGGAGGGGTACTTACTGTAATTGGTTTTACTGTCGGCAGTCAGATGGACAACATATACGTCTTGTATTTCACACTCGGCGTTCTTCCAGGTAAATATGTAGAATGTCGTGATGTTTAACGCCGCACTAAGCATTATATCAGCCGAACGATGGCTGTCTGTAAATAATCCAGTGTGAACCAGACAATCCAGTGATTGATATCATGAGCATCGATCCACGCAACTGAGATACTATGACATGCATCATCCAAGTCATTTACGAAAAAGATAATTATGCTTCAGTCTGTTGAAAAAAATCAATTTGCCTGCCACAAAAATGGCATTGCTGCAAGGTGTTTTTTCTGTAAAAAAAATTCAGGCTCTTACTTTTAAATATAAATATCTGGCTTTAAGCTGTAGCTGAATAAATACCTAATCTCGACACAAAATCCAAATTTCGTGATGAATTTTGCAAGATCTTTGTTCCGTCGAAATGATGGGACGGTAAAATGGCAACTGTCATGTTACATCGCAGCACGTCATGCACGTGCAGCATGCCACGCATGCATGTTTCAAAATGCAGTATCTGTACACCGCAATTGTTGGTATTTAAAGTCACTGTCCTTCATTGTTGAATCATTATTTGTGAACATGGCACGAAGAAGGTTATCAGAGTCGCAAAGTTGGCGTACAATTCAACTGGGGTATCATTATACCGCAATCAGCAGACACGGTGAAACCAATGCTGTACAGGATCCCCCACGGTCAGAAAGACAAGGTGTGAGCAATGACATTGTAGCGACATTTCCTGTTATACCCAAATAGGCGGATGTCTACACATCCAGAAATATAAACCCTACGACCTCGTTTATGGGGGGTTCGGTAATGGTTTGGAGTTATCTATTACACGATTGTAAGCTGGATCGTGTAATAAATTCAACTAAGTGGTGTTCGGTACATTCGTAACGCTCAGCAACCATCTGTTGTTCCGTATTTGGGCAACACCTGGCCTGTGTTCATGGATGACAATGCTACGCCACATCGTTCTCGAGCAGTAGCAGCTTTTTCTCCAGAATGAGGCTACGGCGACACTGCCGTGGCCTGCCATGAGTCCTGACCTGAACCCACTGAAACATATTTTGATCACCTTGGGGACACGAGTACAGGCACTGTACTCACCGGTACAGATTCTGGCCCAATTGCTCAAGGGATGAGTCGAAGTCTGGAATCTGTTATCTGGACACGTGGCGGGCTTACCCGCTATTGATAATTTGTGTCATGAATGTCATCTTTGGACTGAAAATGACATTTTTCATCATCAGTCATGATGTGGAATTGTGTTCCTGACTCTGTAACGCCATACTTAGTTAGGCTACTGTTCTGGCACAAGTACAGTGCCACTGTGTTTTTAGAAATTTGATTAAATCAGGATAAACTTTTCATGTTTTCTTATTGTCAGAGGTTTCTTCTCGCAAACCACATTCGTTTTTCCGAGGTTATGTTTTCAGAGTTTCAATGCCAACGCTCGTACGACCAGTCATTGTAAAATATACAGGAGGTGCTTAACTATTTGCTGTGTGGGGATTTCGGGTAAGACTAGGTACTCAGCAACCTTTGCTGGTCGTAAGAGGCAGTCGAATAGATCGGGTGTTCAGGCTGTTGATTCCGTGTCATCGTACCGGACGGAGGGGCGGTCGGGTAGCCTAGTGGTTTAAGCGTTCGCTCGTCACGCCGAAGACCCGGGTTCGATTCCTGACATGGGTACAATGTCTGAAGCCCATTTCCGGTGTCCCTCGCAAAGACATTGCTGGAATATTGCTAAAAGCGGCGTAAAACCATACTTAATCACCCACTCACTCACTCGTACCAGAAGGAGTGGATCGTTGATTGCAATATCTATTACTGGATTGTCTGGTCTTGCCCCGATTATCTACAGGCTGCCGTCATGTAGCTGGGCTATTGCTGAGTGCAACAAACACACTACCACTGCGTGGGTTTGTTCGTAGACGTTGCATTGTACGTTGTATTGGTGAAAAATGGTCATACCATTTACAGTAAAGAGATATCATTTGTAAAGAAAGTTGTTGAGTGTTTCACTTCATCACGAGAACATGCAGCTATCATGTAATTTCCCTTGTGCAGTGAACTGCGATCAATCTTAAATAAAGCCAGCAAATATGTGTATCGGAAATTTACTTTCAAACAGGAATTGGCGTTTCCCTCGCCTACACCGCAACCATGGTGCATGTCAACAAACAGTTTTCAAAATGGCGGCCGTTAGCCGTTGGGGCATCAGTAACAGGGGTAGCTGTGGGAATACTCACTTGGCCCCCACTCTCTGCTGCTGTTGCCGACAATATGGGATGGCGGGGGACATTTCTCATCAATGGTGCACTGACGCTGCACTTCCTACCATGTGCTCTCTGGATAACTCCGAGCAACAACGCAGGTGAAACAACGACTTCTTCATTTCTTTGCTATTTATCATCAATATCATAAACATCATCCCCAAATGGGAAAGAAAAGATCAGTGTTGAGGCAATGACTAAATAGCTAATTGATTTTTGCTCAGCATGGAAGGTGGCCATGAACCTATGATACATAGAACAACATAATGTCTTAATGAAAAATATGAACGTGTTTTGAGCCATGAGTACTGTTCATATATAGATTTTAATCTAAATATCGATTTCTTTCAGAATTATATCAACATTATTGATAAACTGTAGCTCCCAAACAAACCCAAAGCCCAAACTGCATAATACAGAATGTAATTTTGAAACCCAATTTACCCTGCCATTACTGACACCCAAGAGTAAAAGATGTTACGATTTCTGTTGGATGACGGGTAACGGGCATACATAATTATGCCACTATTTTATACTACTTTTATAGTCAAATGTACACAGAGGGCATCTTCCACACTCTCGACACTGATTTTAGTTTTAACCATTTTTTAACAAAAATTATGCAAAATGAAAATTTCAGTATTATTTACAATTGCTGTTTACTAAAAACACTAAGTACTGTAATTTCTCTGTAATTGGAGGCATAATGTAAATCACCCTTTGTATGAACCTGAGGGATAGTTCCTTAAACATATACTCAACAATAAAAGTTCCCGTGACACCAATATTTTAGTGTATTTTTCAAACAAGAAAAGTTTGGTTTTCAATATTGTAGTACATGTATGGAATCAAGTCACAAAAACGCAACTGCTACAGAAAAGCATACATTCCATGCAAAATTGACTTTTATGCAAGCCCCATGCATTTCACAACCCAAGAATGGGTATAAAAACATGGGCGTTAACGGGATTCCATATGCATTGTTTAGCATCGTGCTGTCAACAACCACTCAGAAAAACGACAAAATTACGCAATTATTCAACATTACGAAATCCCACGCCTGGCCGAAAATGAGCGTCTGCGTGCCATTGGAATGCTTGAAGCAGCATCGAGTCAACGTGATGTTGCAAGATAATTTAACGTCCACAGAAACACCATTTGATGTTTATGGCAACGTTGGCAACAGACGAATGCAGTCAGAGACCATCCTCGGAGTGGCAGGCCATGCGTAACCAATAATCGACAAGACAACTGGATTCGAACAACACACCTAGGAAATCGATTCCAGCCAGCAACAGTGACTGCAAGAAGCATCCCTGGCCTTCGACGAATATCTTCACAAACCGTACGTCGTCGCCTCAGATGTGTAGGGATTGTCGCGAGAAGACCCGCCAGACGTCCCATTTTGACAGGAAAACACCGTCAAGCACGTCCACGGTGGTGCAGACAGCGTCCATGCAGTTCTTTTCACTGACGAGTCTCGTTTTCACCTCAGCCACAGCGATGGACGGATTCGAGTGTACCGACGTCGAGTTGAACGTTACGTCAATCATTGGGTCATGGAAAAAGATCGGTTTTGGGGTGGCAGCGTTATGGTATGTGGTGGGATTACAGCAAGACAAAGGACCCGCTTGATAGTTGTAGAGGGAAATCTCAATGGACAGCGCTACCGCGATGAGATCATCGGCCCTGTTGTTCTACCGTTTTTGCGTCGTCAGGGCCCAGGCATTACCTTTCAACATGACAACGCCCGGCCTCATATTGCTCGACTTGTTCAGGATTCTCTTCAACAAAATAACGTGAATGTCATCCCCTGGCCGGCTTGCTCCCCTTATCTCTCACCAATCGAGCACATGTGGGATGAGACGGATCGGCGCCTTCGACGTCAACCACGTGTTCCACAGACACTCCAGGAACTTCGAAACATGCTCCAGCAGATATGGACAGATATCCCACAGGACTTTGTGCGACGCCTGGTCCATTCGATGAGACAAAGATGTGTTGCTTGCATCGCAACCAGAGGTGGACACACACGCTACTGATTTGTAAATTGTCATTTTGGCATGTTCATGTTTGTCTTTTATGAAATCACGTTTTTTCTTAAGTCAGTATGGCAAATTAAACCATTTGAACACTTACAGGAGTCTTTTATCTGTCGCAAACCGAATATGTTTCAGATTTGGTAAAAACAACAACTTTGCATTAAATCTTATTCAATGTCACAGGAACTTTTGTTGTTCAGTATATTACTGACTTGGTCATACCACTCGAAGATTGATATATTTAATGTTGGGAGATGAACCTGAAAATGGTTTTCACCAAAAAGTTTTACTATCACGTTAGTTAATTTATCCATCATTTTGTCCTTTTTTATATGTTTTTAACTACAGAGATAATCATACCCCAACATGGAGGCTACACTACATTCGATGCTATCATCCACTTCACCATGATCTACACATCACCAATATTTTCGACAATTGACAATGAAGATTTAATAAAACGTTATTCCATATTTATGGATCATACCATGTAGATTCCACATGATTAATGTAAACACATGCTGACCAAGTTTGAGTTCAATACCTAACGTCAGAGCACTATATTGATAATCAGTTTATGATTATGTAATTCTTTACGATCTTTTTTCAGAATATTCCTGTGATTGCCCTAGGGTTTCCTTCAGTAAGACTATAATCAACTGTTTCAAAATATACCGGCTGCCCGGAGCAATTGCTTTCTCCATTGCTCAAGTGACCTTCGGGATTAGCTACTACACCTTCTCAGCTTTCCTTCCTGACTACGTAACAAGCACGCCTTTCAGCATGACGGCATCAGAAGCTGCACTCATTGTTTCATCGTCAGGATATGGTAGCATCGTTGGTCGTCTGATTTTCTCTGGAATAGCCATGGTGAATACCAAGGGAACTAGCTTCATATTGTTCTTTTCGTCCTGCATGTGTGCCATCACCAACCTGCTTGTGCCACTCTGTACGAGCTCCACGGCACTGCATATTAACAGTGCTGTAAATGGACTAGCTATAGGTGAGTTGGTTTCCAACACATTACGAGAAAGTAATTATATATTGTTGTTCAACAAGCTATTACCGATGTTCTCAATTTAATTATCTGATGCATTTACTTACTTATTTCAGGAGGTTGGATGGGCGTTTTTACACTTGTGCTTGTGGAACTGTTTGGCCTTAATAATTTGTCACAAACATTTGGCATGAACATGGTGTGTGAAGGAATAGGGACATTCGTCGGACCACCGTTACAAAGTAAGTTTTGAATGAATTTGAATAAACCCTTGTAAAATGTTATAATGTCAATCAAGTGAGTTAGTGATTACGTGTTGTTTAACGCCGCAGTCAACAATATTCCAGCTGTATTATAGTAGCCTGTCAATAATCGAGTTTGAACCATGCAACATGAGCCATGCCCTGAGGATAGGATGACACGACATCAGTCTCAGAGAATGACAAGCCTGATACTCGTTCACAATGAAAAGTATGTGTCTGTAGCTATGATAACTAAACTCGAGTTTTGTTGATGTTTCAGGCTACCTTGCAACGTTATTTGGGAAGAAAATTACGTTTTACAGCGCTGGAACTTCGTTTTTTGGGACAACAATTTTATTTATTGTATCGTTAATGCAAAATTATAAAACATCTTGTTCTGCATGTGTGCAATCTGCCAAGTCCAAGGATCTTGGTGTCGACAACACGGGTTTTAGTTGAGGTAAATCTAAGCACTAAAGTGACGATACTGTAGTGTACATTGGTGTATGTCCCTGTGTGGTTGCATATGAATAATGTAACTACTGCCGGCATGGTCCGCGGTATGACTTCCTGTGATGGAACATGACATGTACAATGACTTAAGTTCCTGTAGTGGTACGTGTTCTTTGTGATGTCTTCCTGTTGCTTCCAGTGTGGTGTGTGACATGGGTGGTTGTTTCCTGTGTGGTGGTGTTAGGCATTGGTGGTTGTGTCCTGTGTGGTGGTGTATGGCATGAGTGGTTGTTTCCTGTGTGGTGATGTGTGACATGGGTGGTTGTTTCCTGTGTTATGGTGTGTGACATGGGTGGTTGTTTCCTGTGTGGTGGTGTTAGGCATTGGTGGTTGTGTCCTGTGTGGTGGTGTATGGCATGAGTGGTTGTGCCCTGTCTGTTGGTGTGTGACATGAGTGGTTGTGTCCTGTGTGGTGGTGTATGGCATGAGTGGTTGTGCTCTGTCTGGTGGTGTGTGACATGAGTGGTTGTTTCCTGTGTGGCGGTGTATGGCATGAGTGGTTGTGCCCTGTCTGTTGGTGTGTGACATGAGTGGTTGTGTCCTGTGTGGTGGTGTATGGCATGAGTGGTTGTGCCCTGTCTGGTGGTGTGTGACATGAGTGGTTACTTCCTGTGTGGTGGTGTGAGACATGAGTGGTTGTTTCCTGTGTGGTGGTGTGTGACATGAGTGGTTGTTTCCTGTGTGGTGGTGTGTGACATGAGTAGTTGCTTCCTGTGTGTTGGTGTGTGACATGGGTGACTGCTTCCTGTGTGGTGGTGTGTGACATGAGTGGTTGTTTCCTGTGTGGTGGTGTGTGACATGAGTGGTTGTGTCCTGTGTGGCGGTATCTGGCATGAGTGGTTGTTTCCTGTGTGTCTGTGTGGTCGCAAAGACCACGTACCACTACAGGAACTTACTTCACAGTCCACTTGCCACAACATGAGTGATTGCTTCTTTTGTGGTGGTGTGTGACATGAGTGGTTGTTTCCTGTGTGGTGGTGTGTGACATAAACATAAGTGGTTGCTTCCTGTGTGTTGGTGTGTGACATGGGTGGTTGTTTCCTGTGTGGTGGTGTGTGACATGGGTGGTTGTTTCCTGTGTGGTGGTGTGTGACATGAGTGGTTGTTTCCTGTGTGGTGGTGTGAGGCATTGGTGGTTGTGCTCTGTCTGGTGGTGTGTGACATGAGGTGTTGTTTCCTGTGTGGCGGTGTATGGCATGAGTGGTTGTTTCCTGTGTGGTGGTGTGAGACGGGTGGTTGTTTCCTGTGTGGTGGTGTGTGACATGAGTGGTTGTTTCCTGTGTGGTGGTGTGTGACATGAGTGGTTGTTTCCTGTGTGGTGGTGTGAGACATGGGTGGTTGTTTCCTGTGTGGTGGTGTGAGACATGGGTGGTTGTTTCCTGTGTGGTGGTGTGAGACGGGTGGTTGTTTCCTGTGTGGTGGTGTGTGACATGAGTGGTTGTTTCCTGTGTGGTGGTGTGTGACATGAGTGGTTGTTTCCTGTGTGGTGGTGTGAGACATGGGTGGTTGTTTCCTGTGTGGTGGTGTGTAACATGGGTGGCTGTTTCCTGTGTGGTGGTGTGTGACATAAACATAAGTGGTTGTTTCCTGTGTGGTGGTGTGAGACATGGGTGGTTGTTTCCTGTGTGGTGGTGTGAGACATGGGTGGTTGTTTCCTGTGTGGTGGTGTGAGACATGGTTGGTTGTTTCCTGTGTGGTGGTGTGAGACATGGGTGGTTGTTTCCTGTGTTATGCTCTGTGGCATGAGTGGTTGTTTCCTCTGTGGTGGTGTGTGACATGAGTGGTTGTTTCCTCTGTGGTGGTGTGAGACATGGGTGGTTGTTTCCTGTGTGGTGGTGTGTGACATAAACATAAGTGGTTGTTTCCTGTGTGGTGGTGTGAGACATGGGTCGTTGTTTCCTGTGTGGTGGTGTGTGACATGGGTGGCTGTTTCCTGTGTGGTGGTGTGTGACATAAACATAAGTGGTTGTTTCCTGTGTGGTGGTGTGAGACATGGGTGGTTGTTTCCTGTGTGGTGTTGTGAGACATGGGTGGCTGTTTCCTGTGTGGTGGTGTGTGACATGAGTGGTTGTTTCCTGTGTTGGTGGTGTGTGACATGGGTGGGTGTTTCCTGTGTGGTGGTGTGTGACATGGGTGGTTGTTTCCTGTGTTGGTGTGTGACATGAGTGGTTGTTTCCTGTGTGTTGGTGTGTGACATGGGTGGTTGTTTCCTCTGTGGTGGTGTGTGACATGAGTGGTTGTTTCCTTTGTGGTGGTGTGTGACATGATTGGTTGTTTCCTGTGTGTTGGTGTGTGACATGGGTGGTTGTTTCCTGTGTGGTGGTGTGAGACATGGGTGGTTGTTTCCTGTGTGGTGGTGTGAGACATGGGTGGTTGTTTCCTGTGTTATGCTCTGTGGCATGAGTGGTTGTTTCCTCTGTGGTGGTGTGTGACATGAGTGGTTGTTTCCTCTGTGGTGGTGTGAGACATGGGTGGTTGTTTCCTGTGTGGTGGTGTGTGACATAAACATAAGTGGTTGTTTCCTGTGTGGTGGTGTGAGACATGGGTCGTTGTTTCCTGTGTGGTGGTGTGTGACATGGGTGGCTGTTTCCTGTGTGGTGGTGTGTGACATAAACATGAGTGGTTGTTTCCTGTGTGGTGGTGTGAGACATGGGTGGTTGTTTCCTGTGTGGTGTTGTGAGACATGGGTGGCTGTTTCCTGTGTGGTGGTGTGTGACATGAGTGGTTGTTTCCTGTGTTGGTGGTGTGTGACATGGGTGGTTGTTTCCTGTGTGGTGGTGTGAGACATGGGTGGTTGTTTCCTGTGTTGGTGTGTGACATGAGTGGTTGTTTCCTGTGTGTTGGTGTGTGACATGGGTGGTTGTTTCCTCTGTGGTGGTGTGTGACAGAGTGGTTGTTTCCTTTGTGGTGGTGTGTGACATGATTGGTTGTTTCCTGTGTGGTGGTGTGAGACATGGGTGGTTGTTTCCTGTGTGGTGGTGTGAGACATGGGTGGTTGTTTCCTGTGTTATGCTGTGTGGCATGAGTGGTTGTTTCCTCTGTGGTGGTGTGTGACATGAGTGGTTGTTTCCTCTGTGGTGGTGTGAGACATGAGTGGTTGTTTCCTGTGTGGTGGTGTGTGACATAAACATAAGTGGTTGTTTCCTGTGTGGTGGTGTGAGACATAGGTGGTTGTTTCCTGTGTGGTGGTGTGAGACATGGGTGGTTGTTTCCTGTGTGGTGGTGTGAGACATGGGTGGTTGTTTCCTTTGTGGTGGTGTGAGACATGGGTGGTTGTTTCCTGTGTGGTGGTGTGAGACATGGGCGATTGTTTCCTGTGTGATGGTGTGTGACATGGGTGGTTGTTTCCTGTGTTATGGTGTGTGACATGAGTAGTTGTTTCCTCTGTGGTGGCGTGAGACATCGGTGGTTGTTTCCTGTGTGGTGGTGTGTGACATGGGTGGTTGTTTCCTGTGTGAGACATGGGTGGTTGTTTCCTTTGTGGTGGTGTGTGACATGGGTGGTTGTTTCCTGTGTGGTGGTGTGTGACATGGGTGGTTGTTTCCTGTGTGGTGGTGTGTGACATGGGTGGTTGTTTCCTGTGTTATGGTGTGTGACATGAGTGGTTGTTTCCTCTGTGGTGGCGTGAGACATCGGTGGTTGTTTCCTGTGTGGTGGTGTGTGACATGGGTGGTTGTTTCCTGTGTGAGACATGGGTGGTTGTTTCCTGTGTGGTGGTGTGTGACTTGGGTGGTTGTTTCTTGTGTGGTGGTGTGTGACATGGGTGGTTGTTTCCTGTGTGGTGGTGTGTGACATGGGTGGTTGTTTCCTCTGTGGTGGTGTGAGACATGGGTGGTTGTTTCCTGTGTGGTGGTGTGAGACATGGGTGGTTGTTTCCTGTGTGGTGGTGTGAGACATGGGCGATTGTTTCCTGTGTGATGGTGTGTGACATGGGTGGTTGTTTCCTGTGTTATGGTGTGTGACATGAGTGGTTGTTTCCTCTGTGGTGGCGTGAGACATCGGTGGTTGTTTCCTGTGTGGTGGTGTGTGACATGGGTGGTTGTTTCCTGTGTGAGACATGGGTGGTTGTTTCCTGTGTGTTGGTGTGTGACTTGGGTGGTTGTTTCCTGTGTGGTGGTGTGTGGCATGAGTGGTTGTTTCCTGTGTGGTGGTGTGTGACATGGGTGGTTGTTTCCTCTGTGGTGTTGTGAGACATGGGTGGTTGTTTCCTGTGTGGTGGTGTGAGACATGGGCGGTTGTTTCCTGTGTGGTGGTGTGTGACATGAGTGGTTGTTTCCTGTGTGGTGGTGTGTGACATGGGTGGTTGTTTCCTGTGTGGTGGTATGTGACATGAGTGGTTGTTTCCTGTGTTGTGGTGTGAGACATGGGTGGTTGTTTCCTGTGTGGTGGTGTGAGACATGGGCGGTTGTTTCCTGTGTTATGGTGTGTGACATGAGTGGTTGTTTCCTGTGTGGTGGTGTGAGCCATGGGTGGTTGTTTCCTTTGTTATGGTATGTGACATGGGCGGTTGTTTCCTGTGTTATGGTGTGTGACGTGAGTGGTTGTTTCCTGTGTGGTGGTGTGAGACATGGGTGGTTGTTTCCTGTGTGGTGGTGTGAGACATGGGTGGTTGTTTCCTTTGTTATGGTATGTGACATGGGCGGTTGTTTCCTGTGTTATGGTGTGTGACGTGAGTGGTTGTTTCCTGTGTTATGGTATGTGACATGGGTGGTTGTTTCCTGTGTTATGGTATGTGACATGAGTGGCTGTTTCCTGTGTGGTGGTGTGAGACATGGGTTGTTTCCTGTGTGGTGGTGTGAGACATGGGTGGTTGTTTCCTGTGTGGTGGTGTGTGACATGAGTGGCTGTTTCCTGTGTGGTGGTGTGAGACATCGGTTGTTTCCTGTGTGGTGGTGTGTGACATGAGTGGCTGTTTCCTGTGTGGTGGTGTGAGACATGGGTTGTTTCCTGTGTGGTGGTGTGAGACATGGGTGGTTGTTTCCTGTGTGGTGGTGTGTGACATGAGTGGCTGTTTCCTGTGTGGTGGTGTGAGACATGGGTTGTTGTTTCCTGTGTGGTGGTGTGAGACATTGGTGGTTGTTTCCTGTGTGGTGGTGTGTGACATGAGTGGCTGTTTCCTGTGTGGTGGTGTGAGACATGGGTTGTTTCCTGTGTGGTGGTGTGAGACATGGGTGGTTGTTTCCTGTGTGGTGGTGTGTGACATGAGTGGCTGTTTCCTGTGTGGTGGTGTGAGACATGGGTTGTTTCCTGTGTGGTGGTGTGTGATATGGGTGGTGGTTTCCTGTATGGTGGTGTGTGACATGGCTGGTGGTTTCCTGTGTGTTGGTGTGTGACATAAGTGGCTGTTTCATGTGTTGTATTGTGTGACATGAGAGGTTGCTTCTTGTGTGGTGGTATGTGAGATAAGTGGTTCTTTCCTGTGTGGCGGTGTATGATATGAGTGGTTCCTTCCCTTGTTTTGGCGTGTGACATGAGTGGTTGTTTCCTATGTAGCGTTGTGTGTCATGACCAGTTTCTTCAAATGTGGTAGCTTCATGTATGCTTCTTTGTAATATACGTGACCTCTTCCTTTTTAGTGGTCTGTTTGGGTATTTCGTCGTTTCCTAATTGCGTGGATCGATGTTCCTGATGTCAATCACTGGAATGTCTGTCTCCTTTGTACTCCAAGAATAGACTGCTGAAGACACTCCCCATCTGTGACATGTGTGTTGAATAATTGATTAAAATTAATATATTTTATAAAAAATGGTTATTTTTGGTCTAATTTGTTTCGAGACACAAGAATAATATATTCAGACAGACATGTTTATTCAGTAAAAGGCCAATGGCCCAAAATATAGACATGCGAGCATGACATTTACAGGGCACAGAATTTATCATTAATTATTTTGTGAGCATAATATAAGAATTTACAAACTAGAAATAATGTTTGCTCATTATAATTACTAAGAATATTTATTACATGAGAATTACTGTAATGAGTAGGCATAGGAAGATTAACAAGGTATTTTTGTCTTAGGGCAGAATATAAATTACAATTAAAGAGTACATGGAATTCATCCTCAATGACATTAACACCCTTACTGACTGACTGACTGAGTATGGTTTTACGCCCCTTTTAGCAATATTCCAGCAATGTCACGGCGGGGGACACCAGAAATGGGCTTCATACATTGTACCCATGTCGGGAATCGAACCCGGGTCTTCGGCGTGACGAGCGAACGTTTAAACCACTAGGCTACCCAACCGCCCCAACTCCCTTACTACTACAATAGTTACAGAATCTGAGTGAACGGTCTGTTTTACTGTATCTGCCAGTTTCTAGAGCTATTTTAAAATTTGAACATCTGAATTTAGTAAAAACAATTCTTAAATGGGTAGGGAGTGGACATGACAAGTACCTTTCAACATTTAACATGGATTTAAAATGCTTATAAAGATCACATTTTGGAGAAGAGTTTACAGAAGCATTCCAGAATTGCTGTAAATTATCTGAGCCTTTGCTTAAAATGGAGAATAAAAGCTTTAGAGTCACCAACCTCTTGATTGAGCCATACAAAACCAAACCCAAATTGGAATAAAATATTTCTAACTTTAGTCGCCCAAGTTACCCGCCCAACATCATCTAAAGATTTAAGCATTAAATAGCATTGGGAAGGTAATCTGTGGGGTTGAAGATGTAAGAGCCTGCACCAATAATTAATTACTTTAGTCATGTAAGTGAGTTGTACAGGAAACCTTCCACATTCCCCTAAAACCATATTTGAGCAGGTTGATTTGTTTACTTTTAAATAATGCTAACAAGAGGCGATTTGGACAGATTCGATTTTTTTACAATAGCAAGTACCCCAAATTTCAGAGCCATGGGTTAAGATGGGGGTGACCATAGAGTCAAAAACCTTAAACAGATCTGTATAAGTGATATTACCAATTTTCCTTTGAAAAGAGATAATGGCTAAAATTGCTTTGGTGGCTTGGGATGCTAGAGTAGTTTGTGCCTTACTCCATACAAGCTTAGGTGTAAACATTAAGCCAAGATATCTATAGCTTGAAACAGTTTCAAACTGCGAAGATGGCCACCTTGCCTAAATACAATTACTTTTGGGTTTTTTAAGTTAATTTGCATGCCTGTTTTATTACAAAATATTTCCAAAGCATTAATTTTCTTTTGAAGCTGGGCACAACTATCTGAGAGAGCAGAAACATCATCAGCTAAAAGAAGAACACATAAATTATCTATATCAGGAGAAATATGAATACCTTTACCACCTCATTCTTCAAATACTGTGGACAAATTATTACTAAAAATTAAGAACATTTGTGGGCTTAAGATACAACCTTGGCGAGTACCTACATTACATGGAAACACTTGAGATAAACCTTTGGCTGATCTTACACAGGATGATAAACCACTGTACATGGAAACTAGGACAGTATAAATGGGACCCGATATACCTACTTTCTTTATTCAATCTAACAGAACATCGTGTTTTACAGTGTCGTTTCGAAAAATCAATAAAGAGGCAGTAAAATCTTCCCTTCTTTTTGCCAGAATATTTTGTTGTAATAGCTTGTAATGTAAACATATGGTCAATAGTAGAATAGTCCGTTCTAAAACCAGCCTGAGCTTCACCGAGGATGTTATTGGTGTCACACCATTGCTGTAATCTGCTGTTTAGGATAGATGTAAAAACCTTGCATAAAGTATCTATGAGATATTCCTCTGTAGTTGTCTGTATTTGATTTATCACCAGAATTATGTTATGGACAGATTATACTCTTACCCCATGAAGATGGGAAGGAACCAGTAGAGAATATTTGATTAAAAATCTTGGTGAGAATAGGTGCAAGAAGGTTACTGCAGGATTTAATAAATTCATTTGGTATGCCATCTGGACCTGGGGATTTGTTGTTAGGTAGATTTTTTTATGTGGGATAATACTTCTTGTTCAGAGATGGGATGGTTTAAACTATCGGAGGCAGAGGGGGCAGAATCATCATAGAGTGGATACTGGGTGTTATTGTCAGTGGATAAAAGTGATCTAAAATGGTCAAACCATTGCTGACATGAAATATTTTCAGAAATTGTGTTACCAAATTTGTTTTCTTTAATGGTTTTCCAGAAAAGACTTGGGTCAGATCTAGCTGCGACTAATTTGTCCCTCTGAGTTTGTAGATACTGCTGTTTTTTGGAATTGAAACTTTTCTTAAACAAGCGTCTAAAGCGGTCTAGATCAGCATTGTGGTCTCTATGGGCTCTGAGAGCAGCATACTTATCATGTTTCAAGTTTTCAAGATCTTGGTCCCACCATGGCGGCTGACATAATTTTAATGGTTTGCGGAATTGTGTATAAAGCTTTTTGGTATGGTCAGCAGCACATTGAATAATATTAACTATATAAACTAGGGGACTCTCTACATTTGTATCAATCATATCACATAGTTCAGATTTAATATCATAAAAGCCAGCTTTAAAATTATCAAAGAAAGTGTTACCAGAGTCTCTACTCCAGACATACTTATACCATTTACATGGCTCAGTACTGACATCTTGCGGAAGATCATTTTGTGGCAATTTACAATCAGGTTCATATAAACAGTTAAAATCTAGATTAAGACTGCAGTATAATGGAAAGTGGCATGAATTATCTCGTGTACCAATACCAAAGTCAGTTACATTGGCAAACAGGGATGATGAAGCTAACATATAATCAACAACACTTGCTCCATTGTGTGTTACACAAGTGAACTATCATGTTCTGACTAAAGGGGTAACTCAGCCAGGTAAAACAAGAGACGACTAGTACAATATACACAGATTTATTTACATGAACATCATATATATAAGTAGCTAACAAATATATATAACAATGGTGAGCACACATGGACTTCCCAGGGACCGAGCATGTACCTAGGAAGGCGAGAGCAAGTCTGAAGACACTTACTTACTTACTTACTTACTTACTTACTTACTTACTTACTTACTTACTTTGGAGATTTAACGTGCGCTTTCCGACTGATGTGTAGGTTCTGTTGACCAACCATATTAAGGATTAACATTTATGTCAATGTTATTATAAGGTTTGGAACTATTTGGATGTGTATCCTTTGACGCTAACTAGTTGGCAGGTGACATCTATTGTTTTAGATAATTAGCACTAGGTAATTAGGGTAGTGTCTAGACTTATTGAATACAGAGGTAATTAAGTGGTAGAGACAATGTTATTTTAGGGTTATGTTTACTTAGTTGGATTATGGGGATTAAGGTTTGTTTACATTGATACTTAGACACCCAAATTAAGTCATAGCTTACATGGCATGTAGATTAACAATATTTCAATAGAGATAATTATTGAATGTTTTGGTTTATGTGACAAGTATTTATGGTTTAATATTAAGGTGATTTATAACATTGCAATGATATCATATTTTGATATTTTGTGCTTTAAAGTATATTTTATGAACAACTACCACTAAAGTTTTTCTAACAGTTGTTTTTAGTAAATAGCATCATTACAAAACTTATGTACATATTTAATGCCCATGATATCACCCTCCGGTCCGAGAAGTTTGGTCTCCAAACTTAAAAAGTTTACAATAGTATAATTATTTAATCTATGGATGTACAATCATCAACATTTTTAACATAATATATACTTGTACATAATGGTACAATTGATACTGGTCATTTGATGGTATGCAGCATAGCATGATTGGAGTCCATAAACCGAGCCTTTTAAAAAAAGTCACAACTGCAGGCTGACACTGTGGGAATGGATTGTTGTTGGTTTCCAAGGGGAAGAATGTGATCTTGTCCATTCCACTTGGGTGTTGGCCTGTAAGAAGTGTTCATCCCTCTTGTCAGTGTGTGAAGGGGGCCAAGGCTACGGGTATGGACTTAGCACTGTACATGGATAGGGTAGCTGCATACAACCTGGATAATTGGAAAAAAAAGGTGTAAATTTTTGTCACATTAGCATTGTGATTTTGAATCATTGTGCCAGTGCAAAGTTTGTGTTGTGAGTTTGACTTGTGCAAGTGCTTTTCGTAGCATGTTAGTTAGAATTAGTATGTGCTCCTAAATGCATGTCACAGACATTGATTGATCAGTCCACTTTCAATGAAAGGGCGCAGATGACATAGTTTCTGTGAGGAAAATTTCATAAATCAATAAACATGATTAAAGAATTGCTTGTATACATACCTCTCTTCATTCATGGCTTGTATTCTTCTCAGGAAGTCACCCACCTGTCTTGTTGAAACATGTTTTGTGCTAATCGAAACAATAAGGTGCGAATGGGTGGGTATCGTCATGTGTTTGGTACACTATGATGTGACATTCTAGTTGTGGTTCATATCCCTTCTTGGAAGCATATGTGGGTGGTTGTGGTCTAGGGTATGGTTCAAAAAGCTCTGGCATTAATCCATCTGTGACTTCAAGGAGATTATCCCAACTTTCAGCTAGGTAATTTGCTATATGGCATGGGCTGACAGATTCAAAATAAACCGTCCAAAGTCCAGATGTGGGATCCGAAGGACGTACCTTCACAAAGCAGTCGTTATCAGGGGTTATTTCGATTCCCATAACTTCTTCCACATCATGAAATATTTGTCTTAAATGTTTAGGGTATGGTTGGGAACGGGGTGTTTGTGGGCCAGGTTGAACTGAGTTAACATTGGAGCCTTGATTAGGCTGATTGAAAAACTTATGCTTTTCGAGGGGCTTT